TAAGGAAAAACAAAACCTTCCATTAAAATCTCTAAACTACCCTAAAGCTTCCAAATTTTCAAGAAGCTCACGAATTTTCTCTTACGTCTCCTAATTTTTCAAGTTATACTCGGAACTTCTCTAGCGTTTCATTAATTGTACTGATATTCATGGAAATTGATTGAATGAAGACTCCGCACATTTTTAAAACATTCCTGAAATTATCGGAATATTCCATAGAGTTTTGATGAGATTTTCGGAAATTCCCTTGCTACTTCTATTGGCAAATCAACGCAAAGCCAAAACTGGTATGGCGACACCTAGTTTTCAGATCCAAAAAATGATGATGTAGGGGAAATGGATGTAATGTCGGCCTAAAATGCTAAAATGCCCCTAATTTGGGCCCATACATAAATTCAGCAATCGACTAAATTTACAATAGCGGCGCCGGTGGTGTAGTGGTAAGTGTGATTACCTCTCACCACAGCAGGCCTGGGTTCAATCCCAGTCAGCGCCACCGGGATGTTCTGAGGCATAACATCTCTAGCCGTTGGTCCCCGGTTCATGAGTTGATGGGTCGATAGGTAGGGTCCAGGTGTGGCAGCTGCCTCTCTGGCGTCGAAAGCATTGGTGCTCAGCACGGAAAACAAATCAAAGGATAAAAAAATAAATTTTCATTAGCGTCCAAAAATATTAGTAACGTCCCAATGACGCGTTTAACTAGATAAAATTGATAAATAGCAGATTTTTAGCGATGGGCCCAATCTAAGATCCATAGGCCAACATTAGAGCCATTTCCCTTACTAAAAAAAAACTTGTTATTTGACAGATATCAAAACGTCATTACCATTTTCACCCACTCGCCATCTGCGAGTCAGTCGTCATTTTGATTCTTCAATAAAGTTCCTGGATTTGGCTGAATTTATTGTTCTCGAAGCCATCCTGTAGTTCTTGATACTGCGTTGAAATATGAAAATATCCTAAATATCTTTAAACTGTCCAGAAAAATCTCTAAACTTCTGTGAAATTCCCGAAATATGTCTCTGGTTTCCTAAAATTTTCAGCAGTTCTCTGGAATTTCCTGGAGCTTTTTAAAGGTTCTCAAAATTTAGCTGACGTTCATTGTGTTGTCCTGAATCATTGAAACTAACGTTCACAGATCTTTAAACATGCCCGAAGGTCTGGATGTGCCTGAAGTTATTGTGACAGTCTTAAGATCTCTGAGCTCCCCTATTAATCTCTAGATTATCTTCCCAAAAGTTGATGGAACTTCTTTAATGTTTCTAACATTTTACTCACGTTGTCTGAACTTCTCTAAAATTTTCTTGACTTTTCTGAAGCTCTCTGGATATACTTGAAGTTCCAAGAACTTCTTAAAAACTGATGGAACCGCCTTTTTCACCTTGATTTGTTTTCTGTACTGAGTACCAATGCTACCGACGCCAGGAAGGCAGCTCCCACACCTGGGCCCTACCTATCGACCCATCAACTCATGGATCGGGGACCAACGGCTTTACTTCCCCATTAGAGATTTTATCCCTCAGAAAATACCGAAGTTCTTGAAAATCCCCTGTACTGCCGAAATTTAACAAAATTGTCCTTACTCGGTATTCCCTTCCATTCTCCAAAACTCCAACTCTCTAGACTGTCATTAATTTCACTATTTTCCAAAATCTAATGGAACTGCTCTAAATTACTCAAAATTCACCTGAAAATGTTCCCATTATTTTCCTGATAACCATGAAACAATCCGCGAAGATGGCCACAGGTCGTCCGAGGTCAGCTCGGGTTCCGAGGGTTATCGCTGCTATCAAAAGAAACATTCGGGTGAATCCAGTGCGTTCAATAAGGAAAATGGCAAAGGAACACGGGATCAGTGACTTTACGGCACGGAAGATCGTAAAGGAAGATTGCGGGGCGAAGTCGAGGGCACGGAAAAAAACTCATATGATTACCAACCGCATCCGGGAGCTACGAGTCGAACGATGCAAGAAAATTTTGAACTTCCTTAAGCGAAAAAATCCGGTAATCCTGTTCACCGACGAGAGCATGTTTACCGTCGATCCCGTATCAAATTCCAGAACCGCCCGGTATATTAGTTCTCTTCCGGTAAAAGACGTGGCCGACGAGCACAAGAACGTGTATCTGACCAAGCATCCTGCTAACGTTGTGGTGTTTGGATTGGTGGCTTCCGATGGCAAAAACATTGACCCGGTGTTCATTACAGAAGGCGACAAGGTCAACACAGAGGTCTACATCGGGATTTTAAGTAAGTATGTTCTTGCATGGATCAAAGAACAGTACGGTCCGAAGCCAAATGTTGTATTTCAACAACCACCACACCTCGAACCGCACTCAGAAGTGGTTGCAGGAACATCTTCCGTCCTGGGCGAAGGATATGTAGTCGCCATCCAGCCCCGATCTTAATCCGCTGGATTACTCAATATGGCGCGTCATGAAGGTCAAGGCCTGTTCTAAATGCCACCCGAGTACAGCAAGCCTCAGACAAACATTGACCCGTACCTGGAGAGAAATGGATCCTGACTACATTATTAGAACCTGCCGTGCATTCCGGAAGCGTGTGGAGGCCGTAATTGTAGCAAGTGGAAACTCGATCGATGATTAACATAGTTTAAGATCTGAGAAACATCCCCCTTTGAATAAACAAAAAAAAAAAATTCAAAAACGAAATTTTTGATTTTTTTTTTAATTTTGACATTGCTCAATGGTGCTAACATTATCACGCATACGGTACCTTCTGAATGTTTTCGGATCTTTCTTTATATTATTGGAATTTCCATGAAATTCTCTGAAATTTTTCTGATGTTAATGGAACTAACATAAAGTTTATATATTTTCTAAAGTTCTTGCAACTTCATTTAAGTACCCGTCTGTTTTCTGACGTTCATGGGACTCTTAACCAGTGCTGTTAATTTTCATATCATTCGATTGAAGATGAACCAATACAACCATTCAATCAATTCTGTGAAAACGAATTCTCACATGACCATATTTTGAAGAGCCCCTTTCTCATTCGAAGCTCATAGTCACTGTCAATTGAGTCACTCACTATCATTTGATATACGACAGTGGTGTATGGAAGAATCCCAGCAAAATGGTCCCGAACAGACAAGTCGACCCAATGTTGGATCAATGTAAGGCAAATTTAAGGTCGATGTTGGCCCAATGTCGTGTTGTTTTCGAATCAATTTTGGATTTATGTCGGGTCAAAATCAGGTCGGGGTTTGGTAGAAGTCAGGTTGGTTTTGGGTTGGCTTAGGTTTTTCGCCGGAATGTCGACCTGAGCTCCGTTTATGTGTAGGTTACACTCAATTGAATGATATCAAGCGTTTCTCAAATGAGAGTGATCCATGCCTTCGTCAAATGACTAAGCAACTGATATCACCCATTTGAAGGAGGTCCCTTTTGATAGCGTGTAGCTGCTTTTCTCATTTTAATCAAAAATGTTGAATTGATTTTGAGAATTTATAGCACTGCTCTTAACTTTTTAAAAGTTAGTTGGACTTTATTGTTGGAATGTCTGTAAAGTTTCTGCAATTATTATGAAGATAATTGAACGGATCTGAAGTTCATAAAAAATTCCTGAAGTTTTTGGAACATTCATGTAATACTCAGAACTTTCCCGAAGCTCTCTGAACTTTCCTTAAGATTGTTGAACTTGCCTGAAGCATTCTAAAGGTTCTTGAAGGTCTTATAGAGTTCCAGAATTTTCTTGGAATTCTGAACTGAAATTCTTGGAACTGTCGTCTGATTTTCTGATTTTCATCTAAGTTCACGGAAATGTTTTTAAGTTTATAAAACTGTACTGAAGTTCTCGGAACATCCTCAATGTTGTGGACTATCTTGCAGGTTTCGGATCTTTCCTGATCCTTTTGAAAGTTCGCTGAACGCTTCGTATATTCCGTAAAGAAATTAATCCGATAATCCGACTGTCAAATCCATACAAACCAGTGTTACCAACCTAACAATGTAAAACAAGTTCTATAATTGAGTCGTAGGATTAACGAGAACAGGATTAGCGAGGGATACTGTACTTCATTGAATGCCAAAAGGAACTCAGCAAAGTAAATCGAATTCGTAGCTCGAAACAAACAAACGTCCTTGTTGTCAGATGGAAATAAATCACTCTCTTTATGGTATCGTATGAAATTTAACCCAATGTTTACGCAAATGTATCCCTCCACCAGGGAATACACAAATCCATCTTCCCGTGCGCGCAAAAAAGTGATAAATCCCCAAAGTTTGTGACATTCCATTTGGGTGATATTCATATCAATTCCACCTCATAAAAGCGAAAAACTTTCCACCTATCCATAATACAGAAACTCCAATAACTTCACCGAAAGTTTGTCCGTCCTTCCCTCATTCCCGCCATCATTGTCGGCAGCCACAAGCGCTGGCGATGATGACACAATCCCTCGCCATTCATTCATTGAATTTTTTTTCCTTTCGTCCTCACAGTGACACATAAATCATTTCCTGGCTGGCAGCGCAGTGCATGCCAAGCGGCGCGGTCGGTGAAATGGCGGAGAAGCAGGGGATGAGAACGAAGCCACGCGCTCGTCCGTCGATTTCTCCGTTTCAAAACTTTGACTTTGTATGACTCACTGTACCCGCACGCGTCATCTCAATAATCACATTAATGTACGAATTGCAGATGGAGGAAACAAACAAGGAAAGCTGTAAAAAAGTTTAAAACATTGCAATCGCAAGTTTTGACAGCTCGTCGCCATTTCCAGATCAACAATTGAAAAGACCTCATCAGCTTCGTGCGACCTTTTTCTCGTGAATCGGAGCTCACCTGTGTAAACCCAGTTTGCCATCAGGTAGGGGGAAGCTTTCGCTAACCGATTCACGAGAACTGGCCGCTAGAAGCTGGTGAGGACTTTTTAAATTATTGAACCTGGTTTGTCAATTGAGTAGGAACTCCGGATCCGCACTACTTATTATTACAAGGAACTGTACGCGCGCGTGTAGGCCTCCACAAGATCAGCACTTACCTGCATCTGAGTAAGCCTTGATGTCATTACGGCGGGGGTGGCTCCGGTCGTCGCCGTCGGGCCTTGTGTTGCCATATCGGGCTCGGGTTGTTGCAGAAAGAGGGGAAAAAACTGTCGTTTGTTGACTGCGCGCTGCTGCACACACTGCGTCGTCGATCTTTCACCTTGATTCTAGCACTGCCCAACACTTATTCACCACAACGGACAACTCACTGATCGAAAATATATAATTCTGCACTCACTGCAATCAATAATCGATCATTTGCATTTACTAGCTGTCAACTATGGCTGAAAGAGGAATTTTGCTTCTTCATTAATCAATTTTCTCGATGGCAGTTCACTTCACTCTGGTACTTCACGGGGCGTCGACACTGCGTCAAACCGACCGAGATCGCTTCCTTGCATAGGATCGAACGCTTCCTCCAATTATTGATCATAAAAATACACGCCTAAATCAGTTTGTTTACATGTTGATAAATGGCATTTTCATGAGCTGGACGAAACTTTTTTCAACTGTGCGCGCGACCATTAAAATGACTCATCCACGGACGACGACGACGACGACGGAATGGAACGGATTCGGTTTTATGGGTTTAGTTTCGCTTGGCAAAAAAAGTAAGTATGAGTAAACCAATAAAATATTAACAACGCGAAAACGGGTAGTTTTCGCCGCTCGACGACGGCGATGAACGGGGGCGAGTTTCCAATATAACTGAGACAAAGTGACATTAGACGCGTGGGGGAATCCGTTGCTGATGCCCCCGGTTGGCGGGACCTGTTCTGCGAGCGAGGCCGAAAAAGGGGAACGCTCCGGACTCGAGTGCTTGGGCGAACGATGACCTACTAGTTTTGGTTTTGGGTGGCATAGTAGGCCGCAGTTAGTAATCACATCAACCGTCCGCAAAGATACGAGAGGTTTGGACGAATAAGGGAAGATTTTTGAATTTGGATCGGTTCGTGCGGTCGGTGTGGTGGTGGCGGAGATTAGATCACTGCGAGCAGCCGTGGCGGTGACCTTCTGCAGGCTGTTTAGGGAGTGCGCGATTTGTTTTTTTGGCTGGCTTTTATGGGAGCAGTTTTTTTTGTTTGGCATCACTCGATTTGGTTTTGCTTCTTCTTCGTGTATTCCTAAATCATCACCTTTTAAACGTATTGGTAAAATTCGTTGGTAGCGTGCGTCGCCGTGCCAAAACAGTCAATGCATCATAAATATCAACTGGTATGGTGAGTAAAATCTTCCATCTCTTTTATTCTTTTACTTTTCAATACAACAGCAAATGTGATGTCAGTTATGCACGGGTACAAGAATGTCGTAGACAAAACATGTACACAGGCAGACTACGCTGTATGACACCCCTGAGCGGAAAAGCCAATAACAGGCTACATGCAATGCTGCCATCTCCCAGGTTTGTGTTTAATCGAAGACATCATATCAAGAAGACTGGCAACTTTTCCAGAATCCAAGCGGCAGATGCAATAGCGCTACGCTTGAGTGAAGGTGGAAGCTACGCATAGAAAGATGAGCAAATACACAAACCTCTCTTCTGAGGATGTAATCTTAGCTATCAAATTCGTTCGAACGTTTACCTTTCAGCGGCAGATGACGCGGTTGTACCTGTCTCACAGCGTTCGTATGATTAAATGGAAGAGTTGCCAGTCTTCTTAATTTGTTGTCTTCGGTTTAATTCAATATTTTTTTACCTTTGTAATTGGTACGTTTAAGTTCCAAAAAAGGTTCTTTTAATTTTATTTACACATTTTTTTCATATTTATTCACCATTAAAAACATCCACTCATCTAAGTGATTGGTTTAAACATCGTATTTGCATGTTTTATTGCATTTTATTGCAAAAACAGACAGAAATCTCATGTTGCCAAAAACGGAAAGGATCCGCATTCTACCCAAGGGGCATAAATTCATCCAAATCTTCAAATCATCTTCATGGTGGCCAGCAAATCTCGATCAGCAATTTTTCCGTTTTCTCCCGGAATTTTGGAAATTATCGCGGTTTAGGTATTTTAATTAAGCACAAAACTGAAAGCGATGAAGCCGAAGGTTAAATGGGTAATTTCTAAGACAGCAGCACCTTTGCTGGATCTTGAATTTGGAACTGCGACTGCGGTTCGAAGTCTTCACAATGTGTGTACGAAAATTTCGTTCAAAACTTTACAGGCTTTTATTTGATTGCTCTCAAGCCTTTCCTTTAGATTAATTTCCTTTCACAGAGATATCTCCAGAATTCTTTATCTGGAATTCTCTCTGGAAATCCTTTGAAATTGTTTATATAATAGTACAGAAATTCTCTGTAGGACACTCCAAAAAATTCTTAAAATTCATCCTTTCTTCGAATTTTAAACTCTTTCTAAAAATTCACTGGAGCTTCAATTTTCTTTAATTTAATTTCACCTCAGACCAACAATTGAAGAGGACCTATTAGCTTTTGTGAGCAAAACTTGTAATCCCCCTTCCCTGCCTTCCCGCTGAGAAATGTCTTCAAATTTTGCTCTGAATTATCTTGGAATGCTCCTCTAAATCCTTCTGAACATTGCATGGAATTCTCATTAACATTCTCTAGAAATTCCTTTCGAAATGCGCTTGGAATATACTCGGACTATCCTTATAGATCTTCGCATAGTTATTTTGGAATTGTACCCACAAAATTCGCGTTCCTTGGTATTTTTCAATATTCCTGGAATCCTCTTTACTCTTGGGAGATCTAGAGGTTTTCCAAAAGCTACCTAGAAAATATTCTCTGAAATACCTTGGTAAAATTGCTTTGGAAAAAAACCTAAAATGCACTTAATTGTTCTTCAAAGTTACTGTAGTTATCCTGAAAATCTAGACCAGTTCAAGGGTATTGAAATCTTATTGTTTTCGAAGAGAGGACGAGGTATATTTTTCCAGATTTGTCAACTAAATTCATGGGATTTTTCCGGTGATTTCAAATTCCAGCTCATTCACATATGAAACACTTGTTTTTAATCCCATTATATTTGTTTTGCCTTGAGCACATTTTGAGACCCAGCTTCGTTAGAAAATTATTCCGGATAATATGCGAATTACCAAAAGCTAATTCGCGGGCGGATTCCTCCGGTAAGAAAAGTAGAAACAACGCTTTCATCTCCAAAATTCTGTAAGTTAATAGCGTTAGCGTTGTTATGATATACTTCGTAGATTGGATACTAGCGACACTCACGTCTCTTCTGAAATTTTCAGTTAGACTACTTTCAGGAATAATGCTGGGGAGTAAACATTGGTTCCAATCTAAATAAGAGTAACAGAAGCATGAATGTCGCTGTGAAATTCTGTAAGTTAATTCAACCTAAATTGCAATAGCAGCAACATTACCATACTAAAACTTACTGTGCAGCTAATTTACAATGAAGACCTAGAATACTTACTACAGTCACTCTATGCTGTCAAAGCTATGCTTGTCTACGTATCTTTGAATCATTATTCATTCATAAAAGGGCTACTCCAAGCAATAAAAAAACTCCCAAGCAAGACCATTATCGAAGACTACAAATCAAGAAGACTGGCAACTCTTCCAAAAATCAGGAGACAGTAACGGCAACGGCTCTTCTGAGCAAAAGTGGAACCTGTGTATGATGGTGTGTGTTAATTCACGAGTGCATTGACACACATAGGTAGAAATAAATAGCTGTAAATTTGGTTTTGTTATGATTGCCGTAAAAAGTGAAACGTCCCTTTCTTTGCTTTATGCTGACAACGAGTAAAATTACAGCTGAAACTGAACAGATGCGTAAGTAAATTTGTTTTGAAAATTAAAGCCGATGATGGTGAGACCTTCCTCGATCATTAATTTGCTATCTCAGAATTATCTTCCACTTTTCCTAAGCCCTTTAGTGATGCATTTATGGGTATTCGTATGGTGCATTAGTAAAATGCATGCCCGTTAAGCATGGCTTTGGCACCTGGTAACAGGGGGGGAAGTTAAGTTGTGACGCTCGGCAACTTGGAACAGTACTCACTAACCATTTGAATGTCACTGGCCAATCCGACACTGTTGTTATCATTCTCTGGAAGGGGTTGGTCGATTTCAAGAATTGTTAAAGCATACAGAGGATCACCATCCGGTGGATTCAAGTTCTGATAACATATAAAATGGAAATATATTCTTTATCAATACAAACCGTTTGGGATTGCAGTCCTTCAACCTTTCATTTTCATTTTCTCCAACATTAGATCCTGCTACGCCTTCCGTTGGATCGTGATGTGGGTATAGGATCTCTCTTCTTTTTGAATCCTTGCATTTTCAGCAGGTTCAGAATGACGGTAGTTACCTCAATGGTGATGGAAGCTGAGAATTCCTGACAGTTGATTGCTTCCAACAGGAAAAATAAACAATATTTCGGTTCCTCGTTCACAATTAAAAGTTACTTTCACGAGGTATCGATCCGAATTTCAATCCTCTACTTGATCCACCATGACTAGTTTTTCGGTTTGGAGTTGGAAAACCACAAATTGCCTTGAAATTTTGCAGAGCAAAACAAAAACGAGTACCGTGTTATGATTATTCGTTTCGGTTACATTAGGTCACACACACAGTCACTGTTTATGAGCCGTCTCACTAACACTTGTGCTTCAAAGTTCCACCTTTGATTGACAGAGGCGCTGTTATCAGTGACATTAGTATGGGAGAAGGGAACAGTTGCCAGTCTTCTTGATTTGTAGTCTTCGCCATTATCCTAAATTCTACTATAAAACTAACTAAATGAAGTTCTCTGAGCTAATCAAGCTGTTAAGAAAACAATAAAGAACAAGAACTAGAAGTATTCAGAAAAAAATCATTATCTTCTCTTAAAGCTGGGTTTAGACAAGGCGAGTCAATTGATCAACTCAGTTGAATTCAACTGACTTGAGCGTGTAAACTATGCCATTTAACTGACTTGAATTGAAAAAAAAAAGCTGAACCAGGCTCAACTTTTCAAGCCAATTGAATTCAACTGAGTTGATCAATGACTTGCCTTATCTAAGCCCAGCTTAATTCTTAATCATTCTTGCATTTACTCAAACGCGCTCCAATGCGTTCAAGGCATTTATTTTTGTTGGACACAGCTGGATCGAGCAGACGCTGAATTTAAATTGGGCTCAAAATCATCGAATAACCTTTTCATTTCAATATAATTTGCTCCACTTACAAAACTGCAACGTCAAGAGTTGAACAACCACACTTTCGCAACTCAATTTAAAATTTAAAATTGAAAACCATCCTCAAACTACAACGAGTAATTAAGTTGTTTGCGACTAGCAAAGTCAGCCATACTTATTAATATGTTTCTGTCATAAAGAAATATTTCCCTGACTTTGAATGAAATTCCCTGACAATCCCTGATTTTCCATGTCCAAAAAGGAATTCCCTGATATTCCCTGATTTTCCAGGTACTCGACACCCTGATCGACTACCTGTTAGAGCTGGAGTTCCTCAGGCAGGGTACCATTCTTGGGCCTTAATTGTATAACATTTCCACTTCGGACATCCCTGATTAGCCTCAGGGTTGCCACAAATCTTTGTTCGCTGATGACACAGGCCATTCCGCTAAAAGAAAAAAAGTCTTTGGGTTATTTGCAGCAGACTTCAGAAAAGTTTAGATATGGTTAACTACCCCATTTCCAGCCTATTAAGCACAACCTGAACTTAGTCTGTCTTAATCTAGCACAGTTTAGCACCAAACAGAATGTTGTATTCTTGCTGATGGCTTTCAAATTTATTTACCTTTCCGTACGTACCGTAAGATTTGATAAAGAGAAACCAATCGTTGAGATATTGTCAAAAGTCTAACACAGCTTCTTGACGCCAGACTCGACCTAACGCATTGAAACGCCAATGAATTCACTTCGGCCTATCGGATGAAGATAAAAATTGATTCGGTCGGAGCGCTTCTCTTGTTTTTGAGAATAACGGGTGCAAACATTCATATTACGCGTTCTCATTGACTTCGTTCGGTAGCTTTCGAACTAACGCATAATAGACTTGTTAACTCTGAATTCATGGATTTATTTGATGTTTTCTGGTCGATAGACCCAAAATGGGCGATTAGGCCTAAGTAGCTCTCTATCTTATTTACAAAAATTGAAGATTCCTCCGACCGCTTCCAAAACTCAACTTATAATATTCCCACATCCCCAATGAGGACATTTCTCTGGAACTACACAATAGGTTTCGTCACAGTAGCCAAAAGTGTTGCGTTTCATAATAAAATAGTAAGTTGTTGGTCCAGTTTTGTGAATAATCTCTGGTAGAAAGTCACGCTAAAACTATAGTCGCTATATTCATAGTCTGGCGGATAGAATCTCGGGAACCAATTGAACTGTCAAATAGCGGAACCAATCGAGCAAATCACGACCAACAACAGAAAAGAGCACATCAGCTATTGCGAACAAAACTTCGGAAACCGTTTTCTCGTGATTCAAGGCTTGCCTACGCAAACTAACACTATCTTTGCGTTGGGGAAAGATTCCCCTATCCGGTGATGCCGGTAATTTGCGTTCGATTGTCGAGGAAAGAATAATCAACGTTTTGTTTATGAATGTTGATAAGACCTTTTCAATTGTTGGGCTACAATATATTGAATTGGTTACGCTCTTTGATAGATCGAAATTCTATCCGCCAGACTATGAATATAGCGACTATAGCTAAAACTGCTTGACGAAGTGGCCCATTCTGAACCGAACAACAAACTGTCGAAAGTGGTTTCGCCCCATTTAATCCCTTTTTCTGCAAATGGATGTAAATGCACAACCCAACGACCAGATAATGCTATTATTAAAAGCTCGACCGATATTCGCAAAGTTTCCGATCGTTCAGAAGAAAAAAACAACACATTCATAACCTACCATCATCAGCCTCATCATCACCACCACCACCACCACCACCATCGCGGTCCGAATTGTGGCTGCTCGTGGAGGATTATGACAATATTCATCGAAAATTGATTTCCATTTTCGTTAATATTGCCACTTTTCACCCGGCACATATCAATAAGCACCGCGCATTTTATCCATCCGAGTGACTAATTAATTAAGTGAAAAACTCCTCTCCGTTGTAAGTACCGCCGCAACTCCCTGTCGTGGTGTTGTTTTTTGCAAAACTCGAGGCCATACGACGGATTCCGGCGGACCAAAAGGCGTAACGGAATGTCACACCCTCGCTTACTGGGCTCCAGCCGGCCCCCCGGTTCGTCGTCGTCGTTGCCGTTCGTCACCCGCTTGTTCACTGCTGTTATATTCGTTTGAATTCGATAATTCAGGGGCCTCATTGGGGAAGCCGAAACCAAGCGTTTTTCGTACGAACGGTTGTATGAAAAAAAAAGCCGTTTCGTCTTGGTTGCATTCTGTGGCCCCAGTTTTCGATAATTCCGCGTCTTTTCCGCCGCACAATTTAATTAAAATTCACGGTACATTGAATCACTGCAGCTCCGCTGCCGTCTGTAACACTTGATCGGAGTTGTGTACCCCCGAAATTTGACAGTTGGAACTTTGGCACTCGGTACCTTTCGATTGAAAATCACGTTTCTCACTATCCTATCGATATTTTGCTCTTGGGTTTAAAACAATGGCAACAACACACTCACAATTTGTACGACAGAACAACGGCGTTGAATAGATGGAATGGAAGAACAATGGATCGAAGCGAGTTAACCAAACAATAATATGTCTTGCCGCGACCGCTGCTTGCAAGCGACTGATCGCGATCGAATCAGACAGACGACGAGACAAACAACCCAGCTGAGCAAAGAGGCTGATGATGGAATTGCGGCATCGCTGGAACCGGTCATCATCGTCATCATCATCATCATCGCAGTAGGCGAAAACAGCACCTCGCGATCAACCGGCTCCAACGGCCCACTTTGTTTTTGTTTACGTTTCCCGTTCGTGTTACTTCAAATGTGTTGCATGGCATGTTGCGTGCGATCAGTATTACAATTTGTGCGTGGCGACGTTGATAGTGCGATGATGAGGATGATGGCTTATATCGCCTAAGTGACAGAGATATTTAAACGAAGCACAACTTTGTCAGCGCGCTTTCTGCGTGCTGTCTTGGCGCTCTCTGTGATGGAATAACGCTGAACGTGAACGTGAATCACAAGCACAACCGTTGTAGCACCACTGACTAATGATGATGGGCTTGCCGCTTGGAGCTTTTTCTAGATGATTATTTAACAGGTAGGTGCAGCAGTTTGTCGTGGTAGGTCGATTTGAATGAGGAAATAAGTTGAAACTGGAATGTGGGGTTTTCCGTGTTTGGGTGCATTTTTTGTCATAGCGATGTACCTATAATTTATAATTTTGATGTATTTGGGCAAGGCAAACAACAATCGGTCTTGATTCACGGAGCTGACCTGCAGAGAAACAATCATAGAGTTGAATTTCCAAATCGCCGCGGCTTGTAGATGATGACGTTTGTGCCCTTGTAAACGCCAAGTGGAAAAACAACTATGTATGTATCGCATGATGTAATTCAACTTCAGTGCTTTTAATTGGTCACATCTTACACCTCAATCTCACCAGAATCCAAACACGGCTGATGAGAGTAACTCAGTAAATGAGTCGAACTCAACTCAAAATTGAAAAAAAGTTGGGTTTCTTAAGCTTTGTTCCAGAGGGATTTTCCACCGATTTAACTTATTTTCAAAGTGTCAATTTTAAGGGATAATTCACCAAATGGAACACAGGACAAGAGTATACTGATAGACTCAGTGAAATATCATCTCGATATTCCTCATATTCACGGAAGTTTTTCCTGGCAAACCGAGCAAAATTTTACTCACTCTCAGAGTAGCCTCACTGTTTGCACTTTTGAGTCGAATTCGACTCAATGTTGACTTACTCTCATCGGCCGTGAATGAGGGCGACCATGACCTCACATTACGTTTTACGGTCGGCGCACGCTTGTCTTCCCCCATATGTGAGGCAAGCTTCTATTTCAATCTCTTGGGATAGGCCACATGACTGTTGCGGTGTCTAGTCATGAGTAAAAGCTAAAAGCCATTTTGGCAAGGGGACAGCTTTTTTTTTTCTCTTCGCATCCGTTTTGGCTCCCTTATTGGAACCGTCGCTTTGGAGTCCCACGCTGTGTATTTAGGTTCCTACGTGACGTGTGGTGCAACAGGTTTGCACGTTGCGTCGTTGTGTACGTTTTCGGTGTCAGTGGGAGTCGTTTGGCGAGAAAATGAGATCATTTCCTTGGCTTGAAGGATTTCAATTTGGTTTGTTTTCATGTGTCACACACATAGATTTTTGCAAATAGATTCATCGTATTGATTCTTTGTTCCGGGCACAGAGTTGCTAATCGAGACGCGCGAAGACTGAAACCAAAAGTTCCAATCGAACAGTCAAACGCGGTTCCAATCGAGCAATGTAAATAAACACGAGGGCTTCACGAGGAAATTTTTTGAGAGTATTGAGATTTAGGTGGAAATTTAATTTTTGAAATTATATAATCATACGCAAGAAAAGTAAAAATATTCAACCAAGTCAGGCTTATTAAAATCTTTTCATCATAAATTTCATTCTCTATTCTCTCGTACGAAATCACCCCAATTTCAAAAAACAGGAACTACACCCGGAGTTGCTAATAGCATAGAGGTAGCTCTAAGACCAGAAGGTACCGAAGAAAAGTGCTCAACTTTTTGGCTCAGCTCTGGTACTATCTTCGGTCCCAAGCTAATCGATGCACCCCTCGAAACATAGGAAAATCCACGAACCCCTCATTTTATCTGTCAAACTTTCATAGCGAATCAAATCAAACATAGTGTAGTACTAGAATTTCGACTAGAATAGGGTACGTTAATCGATTTACTTGGGATTGTGATTCCAAATTTCAAAAAAGGAATATTTTTTTGCAAAAATGTTGCAAAACAATTGAACAAAGTCTCATGCAAATCGGAGAAAGTCGAGTCGGCTCGATTCATCGTTTGGCGTTGGACTGTTCAAATCTATCATTTTGGACATGGAAGAAGAGCATGCCGTAGTAATAACCGGTGTATCGTAAGCGGATATAAAATTTAACTCGGCAATTGCTTCACAGCTTGAATGGTTGTAGGACAAAACGTCGAAGGATTAAGATCGTGAACAAAAGGTCTAAATAGACATAAGATCGAAATGGATAAACTGGTCAAATCATTGGAAGATAAAATGGGTGACTAAACCTAAAAAATTTTTCATGCTTTAAATAATGAGCAGTTTTTTTGGAAAATTAAGATAACAAATAGTGACTGTGCGTGTCATACCATTTTAAAAGATAAATAACTGAGTTTCTGTAGAATATGTTCCTACTTTAAATCATGAGCAGTTATTTGGGAGTATTTGCACAGTATTTTTTAAAGCTCTTTTAAACACTGAGCGAAAATTTTCTAAACAAAATTTTGTCAATTTTGATGTGACTTATGTCCACTTTTGTCCTTCTATGTTAAATTCGACCTTTTGTCCATTCTTCTTTTTGTCCCTGTAAGTTCATTTTGACCATTTGACCTTTTGTCCCTAAAAGTTCAATTCGACCTCTGGTACCTTCAACCGTTTGTCCATTCTACACTCATAAAATTCGACACATTTTATTGGTGAATTTCCATGTTAAATTCCACATGATTTTCATGTGTCCACATATAAACAGAATCCACTCAAAAGTGCACATAAAATTTGTGAGTCAAATGAATAGTATGCGTAGTTACACATAAATTTTATATCTACACATAAGAACTATGTGTCTGACACATATATATCATTTGTTTATCACATTGCAAAAATTCATGTGTGGGTCACATAAAAATAATAATTGAATTTTTATTAGTGTACCTTTTGAACATTATACCTTTTGTCCGTTCGACATGTTGTCGCTCTAGGTTCAATTGTACGTTTTATCCACCGACCTTTTGTCCATTACACATTTTTTCTATCTAAGTTAAATTCGACCTTTTGTCCATTTGAACTTTTGTTCATTCGACCTTTTGTTCATTCGACCTTTTGTCCATTCGAACTTTTGTCCATTCGAACTTTTGTCCATTCAACCCACCAATTCCACCCTTTGTTCATTCGAGCTTTTGTGCACTCAACCTTCTCTGCATGCGACCTTTTTTGCATTCGACCTTTTGTCCATTCGACATTTTGTCCCCGACCTTTTATCCATTCAAAATTTTGTCCATTCTAGATTTTTCTATTCGACCTTTTTTCCATTCGACCGTTTGTCCATTCGACCTTTTGTCTATTTGTCCTTCTGTCCATTCGACCTTTTGTCCATTCAACTTTTTGTCCATTCAACTTTTTGTCCATTCGACGTTTTGTCAATCTATGTTAAATTGAACCTTTTGTCCATTCACGGAGAACAAATTCGTTAAGTTAAGATAAAAATCCTAATAGATTCTTTCACATGGAAAAATATTGTTGTTTTAAAGAAACCTTTAGTTATTCCAACATTAATTTGACCGTCAACTCAATCATATCTACCTAATAGATTCAACTGTTCATCTTATACTCATTTCAACTATAACTTTGATCAATTATAACAACCGTCAAATATAATTTATTTATACAATTTGGTTTCAAATGATCATCATAAATCCACATACTTTAAACTTGTGATGCGTAAAGCAGGCGATAAGATAGCTGGCTCTCACGCAGATGAACACGGTTCAAATCTAAGTTGAATGTTCTTGTTCACTTTTTTCTATGATTTTGCAGTTGTGTTTTTGAGATCGATAAAGAAGCAAAACAAACTTCCTTAATATGTCGATAATGAAGAGCAGTTCGTTTAATAAACATTGTAAAATTTTGCTTCCCTAACAATAGTTTTCTTGAATCAACTAAAGCATAGTTGTATTTTGAAGTTTGACGTTTGTTCATCTACTGAAAAATATAGTTGAGCCAACCGAGGAGCCAACTATGGAGTATAGTTGTTGCCCTCTATATATAGTCAAATCAACTATAGTTTCGGGTTATCTCTAAAAGAATTGAACAATATAGTTATTTTGACCGGGAAAATAATTGCGTCTGCTATAATTTGTTCTCCGTGTTCGACCTTTTGTCACTCTAAGTTTTATTCGACCTTTTGTCCAGTTGTCTCTTTGTTTCTCTAAGTTCAATTCAACATTTAGCCAATCGATCTTTTGTCCATTCGAACCTTTTTCCATTCAACCTTTTGTCCATTCGACCTTTTTTTCCTCTAACTTCAATTGGATATTTTGTCCCTCTAAGTTTTATTCGATCTTTTGTAAATTCCACCTTTTGTCATATATTCGGCTGAATAGTATATTACCATAGAGGTAACTCTAAGACCAGAACCCGCATAAATGTGAATCATAACTTGACATTACCGAAAATGGTTAAAGATTGTTTATGATCCCAGCTAAACTTTAACCGAAATGGTTATGGAACTTACATGAACATTATGTAGGGGAAATGTATGTAATGTCGGCCTAAGTGTCCCTAGGACTACTAGGACAGTGCCCAGTTAGGGACTGTTCATTAACTACGTAGATAGTTTTTTTGGATTCTTGACCTCCTCCCCCTGTGTAGACAATTGTCCATACAAAAAATTTAAATTTGTATGGGCCGTGGATGATTGCCACCCCCCTTAAACTGTCTACGTAGTTTATGAATAGCCCCTTACTTGGCCAGTGTATATACTAAGAGCTCTTTTATTGAGCTCTAAGAGCTTTTTGGTGCATGTTATAT